AAAAAATTACATCTTTTCATTTGAAATTTCTTTTATCATTGAAGTTTAAGCTATGAAAATAACCAGTTACTATTTTTGTTCAAGTAATCACAATTTTTATTTTGTAAATTATAGAAATTGAAAAAAATCACAACTTTACACATGAACCTATTATTTTTTTATATTTTAAACTAGGGACAATTTATTCATTTAATCTAAAATATTAATGTTAGAAAGGTATTTAGGGATTTTAGAGAAATTATAATATTTTGAGGATTTAATTATCATTTATATATTTTAGTGAGAGTTTATTGTCATTTTTTCATAAAAGAAATACATTTTACACATAATGGAATTTTTAACCAGAATAATACAATTGGGTCATTGGAATGTACTTCCTCTATAAGTTGTGCTTAGTTCAAAATATAGGGTATTAATAATTTTTATAATAAATTTTTTAACTATACATTTACTTCATTTATTTTTAAAAAAATAATGTATTAGAATTCTAATTATAATTATTAATGTATTTATATAAAGTGTTCAATGAGAGTAAAATTAAATTGAAAAGATATAAATTTTTTAAAAGATTAAAATTTCAATAAATATTTTCTGAAAAGATATATTTTGATCCAAGAGAATAAGATTTGATTTTGGGAGAATGGCATTAAGGGCCTTAAAAATAGAGTTTATTATACTTATAGTCTAAATTAATCTGAAATTGTTTTGCAAGCCTTGGGGCCCCAATTGCAATATTTTTTTCAGAGCAAAAATACTATTTTGCCCTTTGTTTAATTTGAACCAGAACTGACGCATGAACCCTCAAAAAAACAAAACAAACGAAGCACGATTCATTATTTTTCTTGTCTTTTTTCTCATTTTACTAGTCGTCGCTCTACCGTTGTTGATCATTGTCGGTGAGGATGAGTGTAGAAGTTGTGGGTGTTGATAGGTGAAACACAGTTCACGATTTTTCTTCTCTTTCCTTGCATATCGCCAACCATTGCTGATCTTCTTCATCTTCCATATTCGAGCAAAATCATATGTTTCTTGAAGCTTCTATCATTATTGTTTAGAGGTAAGGATTTTCAATTTTATTTCTCCCTCGTTGATTCAGTGCATGTGCATCTTTTAGTTGTTGAAGTTATAATAGGTCTCTCGCATAAAGCACAAATGTTTAAGCCTGCAAGTTTATTTGTTTATTTGTGATTCTGCTGCTGATCTGAGCTAAAAGTTGTTGAACCATTTTAGCCATGAAAGTTTTAGAGTGGATTAGTTGTTATACAATAATGATGGTTGACTTGTTCATATTAGACTTTTACATGTGAACCGAATAAAATATGATCCAATATAAGAAAATCTGCTATTAGAAATGTTGGAGTATTTGTTGTGTAGAAATGAACTATGAGTTGTTGTTGAATGTTGAGTTGTGTATTTTATTAAACATTGCCCAATGATAAATTGAAATCACATGACTTTCAGGTGAGAATATATAAACCTTGTGTTGTATATAGTGGATATTGTATTGTGCACTATTTGCCTAACTTGAGCATTATGTTAAGTCTAGCCTACTGAAAAAATAGAATCGTATGAATTTTCAGTTAAGAATATATGAACCTTGTGTTGTGTGTAGTGGTATTATTATACATTGTTGCCTACTTGTACATTTTGTTAAGTCTAACTTACTGATATAAGCTAAAGGTTGCTAAACTATTAAGTTGGTTGTAAAAGTTTTAGGGTGGATTAACTGTTGTACAATAGTGATGGTTGACTTATTCATATTGAATTTCAACATGTGAATTGAATAAAATATGACTCCCAATGTGAAAAAAATCTGCTATCAAAGATATTGGAATATCTATTTGAGATGTTTATATTTAATTTTGAGTTGTGTAAAATAAAAGTTGAGCTTCTATATATGGACATTTGCCTAGATTAATTTGTTCATTGCAGATTAAAATAAAAGAAGATTTATCATTGTTCAAGATGTGGGGAGGCTAGACACAATGGCAAGACATGCAAGAATCCTAACCTAGCATGAGAAGTAGTCACATTGTTTCTTTTTTATGTACATAGGCAACTACAATTATGTATATGGAAGCATTTTCAAGTAATACTTTTTGGATAATTGAGAGTCACATATATTTTTTGTTTGTATATAAAGAAGCAACTGTTAGATGTTTTGGATATAGTGGCTAGTTTTTTGTATATATCAAACTTAAAATTTCATGTCAAATTTCATGTGAGTACTTATTTTAGTACCTAGGCCAGTATCAACATGAAATTCTACATATCTGATATAATTATCCTTCTTAATATTGAAAATGCATGGACTTTTTGTTGAGCATGCGTGAACATCATATTATACATAGTGAATATTGTGTCATGCATGGTCTGCCTAATTTGTCATTTTTGTTAAGCCTTGGCTTGTGAAATACTGGAAATATATGGACTTTCTGTTGAGCATGTGTAGACATCGTCTTGTGCATAGTGGATGTTGTATCATGCATGGTTTGCCTAAGTAGTCATTTTATTGAGCTTAGGCTAGTGAAATATTTGAAATGCATGGACTTTCTGTTGAGCATGCATAGACATAATTTGATACATAGTAGATGTTGTGTTGTGTATGGTCTGTCTAATCATTTTTGTTAGAGTCTAGTGTTGGATAGGGAGGCGCAGCAGAAGATTAAAATTTTAGAGTCCCTATCTTGATATGGATCGAACCAACTCGTTTAAGTTAAAGAGGATTGAATAGTTACCTTTTAATTTTTGAACTTGGCCCACGTTCTCTTCAAAAGTTTGGATCTCAGTAGTTGACAATGTGGATTTGCTCCTTCTACCGGTATTCACACGAACAGCTCTCTAACTCAAACAGCGTGCTAACACTCCCAATGTCCATTATTCTTTGAACGTTAGTTTTCTTTTCTATAGGGTATTTCGTGGCTTTCAAAGTGTTTTTGCTGTCAAAACTTTTCTAACTCTTTCCTACTCCATAAAGGGTGTCCCTATCCATATATATAGTATATGGATTAGGATTTTCATCTTCTACTTTAAGAGCCTACAAAAATTTAATTAAATTTATCTTATAAATTTAATCAATGATATCATATCTAATTCAAATTTATCTATAAATTTAAAATTAAAAACTGACATGATATTCTCTCATATCATGTTATAAATTTAATTTATCATATAAAATAAATTTAAAACTAATATATATAATATATAGCAGAGTACATATTATATTAATATATATACGAATACACACCACACAACAACTTTTGAATATACATATATATATAATTATATTTTGATTTTATATTCATATAAATAAATATATAATATATATTTATCAAATAAATATTCAAATATATATATATATATATAAAATTCATTCACCCTAGATTACATTGATTAAATCTAAACATATCTTAGATTTAATGAACTTGGATATTCTACTCGAGTTGGGCTATTTTTTGTGTGCGACCCTATAGGCCCATATGAAATTGGCAGTAGAGTAATTACGCTATTAGCCCACAAGTCATAGTGGCTTTAGTAGGACATTGCAACTACCCAATTCACATGGGATCGATGATCCAATGTAACCTATCATGCAATTGTATCACATCTCTTTTTGTCACGTGATATTTTGGTCAAGTGTGAGACATGAAATTGTCATTCTCCTTTACCTGACCATTATTTTTTCGATCTCTGAGTGGACTAACTGTAGCAATGAAAAAACCCTTTTCATTGTAGTATGGACATACATTTTCTCAGTCTTACTCATCAAGAGGCCCAGTAATATCTCTCACTTAATGTGAGGGACAAATTCCATCTTGACCACTCATATTTCTCTATATGAATATCATTAAACTCAATCATAGCCTTTATAATCACCCGATCAAAGGTGACTTTTGACTAGGTCAAAGTTCAGTGGTCATCATATGGGAATCCATGATGATTTCAGGTCAAATGGCTTAGTGATATAATTACATATGAGATAAGCTTATGACTTATACCATGCAGCTTTCTCATAGTGGGTCGATCCAACACCTTGTACTCTTTCAAGTGCCTATAACTTTGATTTGTATGTCTATAATTAATCAAAGTCATACTAGTCTTGTTTCATCTATGATCCCTCACAAATGATCGACCAGGGACATTTAGAACAATCATTATAGTTTGTCCAAGGATGCAGTTATCATATTAAACATACAATTGGTATGATAATAAAAGAAAAATTTATTAAATAACAATGAGTATAGTATAATGATTGGTTATAGGGCACAATTTCCAACACCTAGGCTAGTGAAATACTTGAAATGCATGAACTTTTTGTTGAGCATGTGTGGACATCGTTTTGTACATAGTGGATGTTGTGTCGTACATGGTTTGCCAAAGCAATCATTTTGTTGAGCCTAGATTAGTGAAATATTCAAAATGTATGGATTTTTTTTAAGCATGTGTGGACAAAATCTGATGCATAGTGGATATTGTGTTGTGTATGGTCTACCTAGTTATTTTTGTTAGAGCCTAGGCTAGTGAAATACTCAAAATGTATGGACTTTCTATTGAGCATGCGTAGACATCATCTTGTGCATAGTGAATATTGTGTTATGCATGATCTATTCCATTACCTCAAGGGTTCGTGTAAGTTTTAAATTCAAATCAAACAAAAGGAAAAATTATATTTTTGATGTAAAAAATATGGCAATTAAGATCTCAAAGCTTGCAGAGCAATTTCAAATTGATTTAGACCTTAAGTACAATTAATTCTGTTTTCAGGGCCTTTAATGCTATTATTCTTTGATTTTTTAGAATTTGACACGTAAATGCTGACCGTTCGATCAAAGACCAAATGCAACGGAGGGATTCTAGCCAGGCTACCACTTTGTTACAGTTGCGATCCCTGCAGTTTATGGTCCCGACATTTTAAAAGTGATGTAGTTAGTTGTGTAGGTTGTGAGGGTGTGTGGCCCAATCTACCCTCCCTCGGGTCTATAAATTAGGTCATGCCTCCTTGCGTCTTCCTCCCAAAACTTTCTCACATCTTCTCTCACTTGTTGCTCTGCTGGCTTCCAGCTTGTGTGACAAAGCAGTCACTTTTCAGGTTTGGCGTTGGTTTCTTTCTCGTCAGCTCCCAGGAAGAAGAAGAAAGATGATAGTTTCTTTCTCTCCCTGTTGTTTCTTCAGGGAAAGAAGAATGGCTTCCACGGGGTTCCTGGTCGCAACGGCTTTTCTCACGGTGGTTTCCTCTGCCTACAGCGACGGCGGAGGGTGGATTAATGCCCACGCTACCTTCTACGGAGGAAGTGATGCGTCGGGGACAATGGGTAAGTACAAAACAAAGCCAATCAACTCGTGAGATTTTTTTATTGTTTTTCAATAAGAAAGGTGGGATTTTGAAACTGTTTGAGGAAACCCATTTGGGTGATTTGTTTGGAAATGTGGTTTTGGTGTGCAGGTGGGGCTTGTGGGTATGGGAATCTGTACAGCCAGGGCTATGGAACCAACACTGCTGCTCTGAGCACTGCCCTGTTCAACAATGGCCTGAGCTGTGGGTCATGCTTTGAGATTAGGTGTGCCAATGATGCCAAGTGGTGCCTCCCTGGCTCTATTGTGGTCACGGCCACCAATTTCTGTCCTCCAAACAACGCCTTACCCAACAATGCCGGTGGCTGGTGCAACCCTCCCCTCCAGCACTTTGACCTCGCCCAGCCTGTCTTCCAGCGCATTGCCCAGTACAGAGCCGGGATTGTCCCTGTTGCCTACAGGAGGTTAGCGCGTGGGATTTTCAAGTGTGAGATGACTTGGCTTGATATGCTATTATTACTTAACGGTTCTTGTGGGTTGTGCAGGATACCCTGTATGAGGAAGGGAGGGATCAGATTCACAATTAATGGGCATTCCTACTTCAACCTGGTCCTCATCACCAACGTGGGAGGCGCCGGAGATGTTCATGCGGTGGCCGTGAAAGGATCCAGAACGGGCTGGATGGCAATGTCAAGGAACTGGGGTCAGAATTGGCAGAGCAACAACTACCTTAACGGACAAAGCCTGTCCTTTAAGGTCACCACCAGCGATGGTCGCAGCGTGCTGTCCTCTAATGTTGCTCCCGCAGGCTGGTCTTTTGGCAAACCTTCACCGGGGCTCAGTTCCACTAAGCTCCAACCTCGAACCCCCTGATTTATATATATTTAGGATCTTGAATTGAACACCCTCAATTCAAGTGTTAGCAAGTAAGGTGACTCACTAGTATGCTAAGATATTAGACAGTATGCTACTGTATCCCTGGGTCAGAGAATGAGAAGGGCTTATTTTTAAAATGGCTCTTTTCATCAATTGGGGTATTAGTTAGACCGTGTCAGTGTAGGGTTCTAGAAGATTCTTGGGTTCTTTCTATTTTTGGTTTTTTTGGAGTATATTTGAGCTTCTGCTGCTGCTGAGGTGGCGGTGGCGATGGCCGGGGGTGAACAGCTAACTGGAAGAGGTGGAATCTGGGGACTACCCGCCAGTTAGTGTTTGAATGAAAGGAGTTGTTTTTGTTTCCAGTTTGTTGGTTTCATTTTTCTGCTTTTGGTGGAGACTTTTGAGAAGCAGGGTTCGCTTCCTCTAATCAAACATTGTAAAACAGCTTCCGCTGTGTTATGTTTTGTTATGTATGTGTATGTAGTTGGGGCTCCCCCATCAAGTTGTAATACTTCATATTTCCCTTGCTATATCAAGTTTACTTATTTATGGCCTCCTTTTCCTTCTATTTCTTAAAGGACCTTCTTGTGAATTAACATCATTTTCATCCTACTCTAATTTACTTGAAGGATTTTGGCCTTTGCTTAAACAATTTTACCATTTGTCCTTCACAATTTCCTCTTCATTTTATTGTTGCTAGTTCTTAGCTCATTTGAGTTGAAAAAAAGAAGGGAGGGATTTAGTAATTCCCTTGTACAGGGAGGTGGTGGGTCCAATCCCCACAGCACAACATTAGTTTAGCCTCTTTCCACTGTAAAAAAGAGGGATCTTGTTTGTTGGTCATTTTGCTCAATGGGCTTTTTACATTTGGTGCTTGTTTCAATTTTTCGTTTGTTCTGCTACTGCATGAACAGTGCTTGCCGCTTCATTTACCTGTTTCTAAGGGTAAAAGGGGAATATAAGACAAAAAAAATGAGAGACAGAAGAGTAAAAGAGAGAAGGAAAAATATAATGGTTCTTTTTGTGGTGTATTTGTTATCTTTGGTATTTCCATGAGATTGAAGCATCACGCTTGTGCTTGCTTTTGCGCGTCTTTAGATATGCATGAAGAGGACATAAAGGCCAGGCTTGGACCATGTCATGGATGAAGGATAAACTCTATTTTTGGGCTAATTTTCTTTTCTTTTCTTCTTTTAAATAACAGTGTCCAGAATCGGGATAGTTTCTTGGCCCATTTAATTAATTGGCATATTTTGGTTTCCTGCCGGTGGCTCAAAAATTACATAAAAATTTGGGAAGATCGAGAGTTAGGTCTTTAAAATCATTTTTTTTTAAAATTAATTATAAATATTAATTTAAATAGTAATAAAATTAGAAGTTTTAAATACAAATACAACATTTAAATTCTAAATATAATTAAATAATTTATAATTTAGATTTTTGTTTATAATTATTTGAATTGATATTGTAGTTCAAATTTATAAAAATTTTTGTTGTGAATTTATCTGTCATTAATTCAATTTTTTTGGGATTTTATTATTTTTTTTAAATTTTTTTTTCCAATTAATGTCTAAATAATTGAAAGATAATTTGTGGTGAATGAACCTTGAGTCCTCTGGAAAAGTTATCCACATTAGTGCTCGACAATATTTCGAACACACACTTATAAGAAAAGAATATGTAGCCTTCTTGAGGTTAAATCATAATTACGTCAAATCATGATAATTCAGAGTTTAGCTTTCAAGAATTACCAAAATGTAAATTTTTATAAAAAGAATTTCTCAAAAATCTTTTAAAGGAATCTCAATCTTAACAATTCAAATCTCAATTATGATTTAATAAGCCCAAATCAAGTTTCAAAAATAAGCGGAAGCTTAGAAATCAATTGGAATCCAAAATAATGAGTTTTAAACTCAAAATAGATTTATGTAGAAAGTGGCACGTGCGTCGTGGTTTATGAACCATATGCGCCATAGCGTGTCTTCTCTGTGCAATGCGCCGCGGCACATTACATGAATTTTGGATAGCATTAGTGCTTTATTTGACAGCACAGGGAGCAAACTTATGATGCATTCTAATCTCCGTCCGATGTCTAATTGAGGTGATTTTAGTGTCTACATGGAGCTTTTTCTTAACTCTAGTTAATAAACTGGTCTCACACTCAAACTCATTTTTTTATAAAAGTTGGACACTAAAATCTATTATGACCAACTTTTCTCTCACAAAATTTACCAAATGGGATGTTCCAATCCATTCACACGTGCCAATAACTCACACCAACGATTTGAACCATACTCAATAGACTCATGCAACGTCCTAAACAAAAAAATGCCTATCTCATAAAATCATCACTTAACCCCGATTTTCACAAAACATAAAGAGGGAGGAAATGTTGCACAAATCAACAATTTCATTCCAAATTTCTCAAAATATATGTCTTTACTTGTAACAAGTATTTAGGGCCTTATCCACGGGTTCACAATTAAAACTCACTAACTTAGGGCACAAAATACACTAGTTTATACACAAAATCATGCAAATAGTACATAAATCATGTCAAATAATCCTAGTTGGCAATTACAAAGAGGTCAAAGTTTTACCCCTCATTATACAACTTCCTAAAGCTTTAACAAGCTCTAATGGTGCCAAAAATGAACCTCTATACATCCATATCACAAGAATATCATCATTCTCTAACTCTTGAAGTTTTATTAACATAAAATTCCACACACTCTATTTTTATCAACTCTTAATCACTACTCATATATAGCCAATGAGCTCATTAAATTTCATTAATGCACATTAACATTAGCGACACCTCAAACCATCATTAATGCACATTAACCTCTCCCAACTATCATATTTATGATAATTTTCAGATAATAAATGCTTCCATGGACTAGCCATTTTAAAAATTATTAATGTGGTGCTCCAATACATTAAACAACTCCTATTATACTTATTTTAACCAATGGAATCGGACTTATACTTCTATAGACCAAAATTCCATCTCCCAAATCAAACCCTACCATAAATCATCATAAATGAGGAAGAGAAGAATGAGGCTTAGATTACTTACTTTGGGTGTTTGGGAGCTTCAAAATGTCAACAATGGGAGCTAATGAGCGTGCCCTAGCAGAGCTCCAATGTTCCCTTCGTTTTCTTCCTCTTCTCTCTTCTGTTTTCTTGCACAAATATGATTTGATTTATCAAAATTTTGCCCGTGCGTTACGGCGCACACTGTAACATCCTGATTTTTATAATAATAAAGAAATTGTGAATTTAGGTTTTGAGGAAAAAAAAATAATAATAGGAATTTATATTATTTGAGGTTATTTAGAAATAATATTATGATTAGGTTATTTAATTATGAATTTAAAAATTTAAATTTAAAACCACATAAGCAATATTTAGTTAAGATATAATACATAAATAATTTTTTTTATGTGTGTGTTAAAAAAAAAAGAGAAGGTAGAAGGAACAAAAAAAAGGGGGGTGAAAGGTTGTTGTTTCTAAGTCCCACATTGGTTAGATGAGGGAAGAGAAGAGGTGCCTTCATGTATAAAAAGAAGGGGGGTGTGCATTAGGAAGCATGAGAGGCTAAGATGCAATTTAGAAAAAATTGCAACTTTTGGCCCAAAGGTTTGAATAATTAAATTCAAACCTATAGTTTTTTTTAATATAATTTTGGGACTCACAATCCCATTTTTATATTATTTTCTCTCTTCCTCTCACGTTGCTCGGCGTTTTCTCGCAAGGGGGGATTATTTTCTTTTTCTTCAGGTATGTTCTAACTTTCCTGTTTAGATTAGCATTTAAAAATTCATTTAATTACAAAATTAATTTTATAGTTATTTTCTAAATAATATTAGCTTTCTAGTGATATGATTATTTTGTAGGATAGAGTAAATATTTTGATTAGGATTTTTCTATAGGATAGTTAATCTAATGATATGATGGATTAAAAATATAGGTTAAACTCTCTTAGGAATACAATAAATATTATAGAATATTTTCTTGAGGTTGAAACTCATGTTTAAGAATTTTTGAGTTAAAATCTAGATCTATATGGTTGAATTTATGTGGAATCTGAGATGTAGGGATAAACCTATGATTATTAAATATTTATTTAAGTATGAATAGGTATTTTTGAGGTTATAGAAAGGTGATTTGAGGCTTCAGGATAATTTTAAAATTTAATTTATTTTTGGACGAATTTTTAGAATATAGAAGGATGAAATTGTGATACTAGAAGTGATTTGAGGATAAAAAAATAGTTTATTAGGGTACGAGAATTTTAGAAAAGAATTTGGGAAGTTAAATGAGGCATAAATCTTAAATTAGTCTTAATATGGATTATAGATCTAAGACTTTCTAACTATTTAAATTAGAGTTATTTATTTTAATGTAAAATTAATATATAGTATTGTGAAATAATTATGTAGATTATATTGACAAAGATAGTGGTGAAAAAGGAGTTGTGAAGGGGAACTTGTTATTCAAGACACAAGGTAACCATTATTAATGTGTTGTGATGGGTGTGTTTGTGAATGGTTATGTGTTGTTTTGTTGTTTGGAAAAATTATGAATTATTGAAAATAAATACTGTATATACTTGTTTGAAATTATTGCCAAGTGGGTTAAAAATTTATTTTTGTTTATCATGATGAGATATTATTGTTCGGATATATTCCTGTTTGGATATTTGAATGATGCATGACTTGTCAGGGTATTTAATGTATGGTGTTAATGGGAATTTCTGTTCGGTTAATTATTACCACGTGGTAAGCCCTTATTGGACCCACTGAGTGACGTGTTGCTTGGTCCAACTCACCTTTGGCCGGGTGATTTGGCGTCCGAGCATGGCGAAAGGAGGATATAAGGTGCAGTCATGCAAATTAAATACTTGTTTGGTTTGTTTGAAAGTATTGTTCGGTTAAATGTTTTGTGTGCCCACTTAGCAATCGCATGATTAGTTACATCCGCATGCATCATTACATATTAATTTTTGGTTACTGGGACTTTTAAGTCTCATTCCCCGTGGTTAATATTTTTACAGGAGCGAGTCCGGCCGAGAAAGCACCAGAGGTGTAACTATGATGTATGAGACATCATCTTTTACGTTGCCTCTTATTTTAGATTATACAATGTATCTTGTGCCAACTTAGGACATATCTTTTTTTGTGAAGCATGTAAACTCTAATCCTTTTTATTAAAAGTATTTATATGACCAAGAGGATTATATCTGTCCCTCTTGATTATGATCTGATTTGAATATCATGACATGAGGATCCTGTTTGTCCCTCATGGTTCTAATTATTTTTTGAGATATTTTAAGACTTGTGATATATTGTCTTGGATGTATCATGGTAGAAATTTTTCTACCATGATAAGGGTATGATAAGGGTTCAATGAAAAAAAAAAAAATTTGTTGAATTAATAATTGCGAAAAATCGGTTTGTAAATTTGAAGGTGTTACATATTGGTATCAGAGCATTATGTTTCGAGCCTCTATTTTAGTAACACTTATTTAAATTTTTGTTTGAAAT